CACTGGAGTTTATTACCACATACATTTTTCTCAATATCAGAAGACATTTCCAAAATACGCCTGTTAACAGTATCAATGGACAGTGCCAGTTGCCACGTGATGAAAGCTAGTGCCGGTGTTAACATGTCATTCCAGCCACGTTTGTTACGTGTTTTAAACGCGTGCAAAACTTGTGGACCAGAAGCTAGTTGCAAGAAAAGTAACTTATAACTATCATAATAATGTCGCAACGAAACAAGCAGAGTGTTCGTAAAGAAATGGTATAATATAGTAACTTAGTATACATTTGCTTTTCATATCTGGATAGATTTTTCAGGAATGCTACAGAGCGAACCTGGAAAAGCTCTGGGGTGCACCAGTGCGCACTGTTTGAGAACCACTGCTATAACTGTTACCATGGTTTACAAAAAATACACTAAACCTTTCACCTTTTGTGTAGGTCAGCTTGCATCAACACACTCCAAAAATAATAAGTAATGAAAAAAACAGTCAATTCCTTATTATACACATAATCTAATCCCCCTCAAAAAACAAACAAACTACAATTACAATTTCCCCATTTATATTTCACATTTTTACGATATATGTATAGTTTTGAAAATGCTCATATTTTGTAAAGTTACAGCGAGATTATAAGGAAAGCCCCGTCTCTTAAATGCTAATATCTTAAAACCTACTTGTCCTATTCTGAAGGAAACATAATTTTTCATGAGAGGCACTCTGAGAATCAGAACTTTTATTCAGAAAAATCAGGACATGGTACACGGTGTTTCAAGAGCATATGCATACACGAATCAATTATAAGCTAAAATTGATTCTATTTCTTCTCTATACTTCTACAAGAGATAATGATTTGAATATAACCTATGTTAATGTTCAGGATTGTATAATGGTTGTTTGATTGTATTATACAAACAATGGCAGATTTACTTGGGTCAGAAAAAATGGACACCCACTTCCAGACTGGTGTCATCCCCAGACATTACACTATTAGTTGTTTGGTGTGGGATTTCAAAAAAAAGATAAAAAAAGAAATTTGGAAGATCTGAAGATGACCATGAGATTGTAAAGATCATTGAATACTGTCTAGAACTGACGATGCTAGCAGTATGCAGAAATAACCCAATTTAGGGATAGGTTTGATATGCTGTGGCAGTTTATGAAACATCCTGTACGTGTTCTGAATCAAAAATATAGTTTCCTCAAAGGAAGTACTTTTTTAATACAGCCATTATAAGTATAAAGTTTTTCTTTATAACTTTAATATGCAACTCCAGTAAGAAAACTAAAACCAAAGGAAACTTGAATATGATTAACAGCACAAGGATATGAAAACAGTAAGTGTTTCTATCCATTTATGTGAGGAAGTGTATCAGATTCAATGAATGTTAAGCACCACTGTCTACACAATCTTAATTTATCATTACTGAAATAAGCTATATTTCATAATTCCCAAACAATTCAAGTAGCAAGATGATTAGGCTAAGCTTTTGCATACATAATGACTTTATTATTGATCCTTATTATTTAATCTCTCTGTATATAATAATTTCATATTTCACAAGTGTGCACATAGAGCACCGTGTGAAATTCCTTCAAGTTATTTCTTACTTAATATATATATAACACTGTATTTTATCTAAAGTCTCTACTTACTCCACAATAAACTAATTTAACGTACATGAAACATTAAATGAGACTGATATATTGTACTCACTTTCTCTAAATTATTGTCCGCCTCGTCTAATTCATCTTTAATCTCAAAGTCAATGCTATTTGTTATATCTTCTTTTTCATACATTGGGCTTGCAGGAACACCAGTGTGTTCTTCTTCACGAATACTATGTTGAGCATCCCATTCTGAAGTTTTGTCATCGTCACTTGTTTTTTGTGAAACATCTGGCAGGGTTTCAGGGACAGCATCGGACTGGACGGGAGGTGTAGGTTGGTCTGCCTGATCTGCTGACTTGTGGAATATAATTTGTTCTTCACTGACTTCTTCTTGAATTAATATATCATCTTTGTCATGTGGACTAGAACTTTGCTTGTCATTTGTTGATAAACTACTAATTTCTTCATCCCGACTAGGACTTTGAGCAATTTCTTCTGGGATGCTTGCACCTGGTTGAGGACTAGGTAGTTCTTCAGAAGAATAAGGAAGATTTTGATTTAATGTTTTCTCTAACACATCCACAAACTGTATATCTTTTGGAATCTCTTCAGTTTGTGTCTCTGTATTAATATCTTTTAATTCCATTTCTACCGATACATCATCAGCAAGGTTTCTGTTTTCTTCACCATTGCGTTTATCTATTTCTTTATCAAAATCTTCAATATCTGATATATATTGTACAGTTTCTTCATCTGTAAGTTTTGCTTCTTCGGCACGAGAAGGTGTTTCAATCTTTTCATGTAATCCTTCCACAATGTCTTCAATTATTTCTTCATGTTCTGCCATTATAAAGAGCTTAAAATAATGAAGGTATGGTAAAGAGTAAGCATAAAGCTATAATAAGCAGGTATAAATAGCTTTATAACTCAGTAACAAAAAAATGTCAGTAATTTTGAGACTCGATATACTATTTTCATTCCTAATTTCTTATAATCGGCTGCATTATGAAAAACATTTTAAGGAATTCTCAGTTGGTTAATACTCAATTCACGTTCTGCCTTTTCAG